TCCCTACACAACTTTTTCTTTAGTTGGTATAAAATGAAAAGATTTTCCCGGTCAAGTAACATGTTGAGGGATGTAAAAAGATTTACAAATAGATTGAACCAAGAAGTTCAAATGAATTCGCGTTTGGAAAACTCTTTTTAGGTTTGGTTCGAACCAATGATGTGATGTTTTTTGTTTTTTGTTTTTCAAAAATCTCAATTCAAAGGTTATAGCCCCCTTAATTTCGATGTTATGAACCGCACATTCAAGCCACATATTGTTTCAAACTTTTAATTTCAAATTATAAAAATTCAAATCACCATAATTGGATGTGTTTAACAAACGAGCTCTTGGTTTTTTTTAGCCTTTTCTTTTAGAAATTCGTTCCAGCTGCCTTTGTTTCAGTTGTTCTTTTTGGGTTTTGATGCATTTGGTAGTTGTGTTCCGGCTTTTTTGTCTAGTTGGATTTTTCATTTTTTCTTGTTTAATAAATTTTGGGTGGCCGTCTTGTGATAGATACTTTGGCGGGTGTCAATCTAATTGAAATATTCTAGTAATATTCATTCATTTTCATCCTCTCTTCATTTTTTTTTTTAAGTTGTAAGTACTTTTTACTAAACAAAGTTATAAGTACTTATTATTAATGACATGAGAATCTTTTAACTAAAAAGGCATGCAAATGTGAGTCAGTTAAAAGTTGTCAAGGGAGAAAAGAAATTAGAAATCCTGGTAAATATATGGTGGAGTTTGTGAACTTGAGTCATATCTCTATTTGGACTGAAAAGGAATTTTACTCATCACGTCACATGATTATTGTGCTACTGATGTGATTCAATCTATTTATTATTAATATCCAAATAATTAACTTCATTTCGTAAAAGTTCCAAGAAAAAGAATCCTCATTTGCTAGCTAGATTAAAACCACACACACATATACATATACACATATATATATATATATATATATATAATAAATAACCACCAGATAAAAACATAACTACTAAAACTCGTTTACATCACCAACATGTGTATAGCACTGCATTAGGGTGGCCGTCTTGTGATAGATACTTTGGCGGGTGTCAATCTAATTGAAATATTCTAGTAATATTCATTCATTTTCATCCTCTCTTCATTTTTTTTTTTAAGTTGTAAGTACTTTTTACTAAACAAAGTTATAAGTACTTATTATTAATGACATGAGAATCTTTTAACTAAAAAGGCATGCAAATGTGAGTCAGTTAAAAGTTGTCAAGGGAGAAAAGAAATTAGAAATCCTGGTAAATATATGGTGGAGTTTGTGAACTTGAGTCATATCTCTATTTGGACTGAAAAGGAATTTTACTCATCACGTCACATGATTATTGTGCTACTGATGTGATTCAATCTATTTATTATTAATATCCAAATAATTAACTTCATTTCGTAAAAGTTCCAAGAAAAAGAATCCTCATTTGCTAGCTAGATTAAAACCACACACACATATACATATACACATATATATATATATATATATATATATAATAAATAACCACCAGATAAAAACATAACTACTAAAACTCGTTTACATCACCAACATGTGTATAGCACTGCATTACAAACGATAATTAACCTCGGAATAATTTTTGATCAAGAAAAATATCTTTAAGAATTTCTTGATCATATTATGGCCGTAGAAAATGACTAAGAAAAATCAGTACTATTACCTATACAATTACGAAGAGAAAATAAGTAAATGTTAGAAGGGAAAAATCATAAATATTTGCAAAGAGGCCGTACTCTTAGGATATATATCTATCCTAATGTATAAGGACTGCCTCTGTTAGATTGTAAATTTATATATGAAGTTACATGGTTCTCAACCGGGCATATACTTGTGTGTATGCATGTATTTATGTATATATAAACGGCTATTAAAGGAATAACATCATCCCGTTAAAAGAATTTTCCACCATTCCAAAATTGAGGAAAAAGAAGAAAACTTAAAAAAAAAAAAAAAAAGGAGAAGAAAAAAGATCGCCTAATAGTGTGAGATCAAATTGTACAAAAAATGACGATCGTCCAAAAATGAGGCTCTTAGCATGGGATATGCCGTCCTCTAGTATATACAAATACATAAATAGACTTGTCTACGGTCCGACTTATAGGACAATTCCACACTATCTTAACACGTAACATAACATTTATTTATTATAACACATATATTTTTTAATAGAACATGATACTTATTGAATAAAGCATGAATATTAAAAAGACTCAACACTAAGAAATTTAGATATCTCATATTATTATCACTTCAATTTAGTTATTTAACATAATACGGATGATAGAATTGTATAATAATAATCAAAGATAGTTAATTATTTTGGTATCTGACAATTTCATTGTTGGTCATAAATAAATATCATGTTATGTATCATCCTATTAGTGAGATCATAGGACAAACCTTACATAGATATATAACTAATGGCCGTGTTTGGAATTGATTCTATTTTTGTTTTTCACATTTTTTGAGAAAGAAAAATGAAAATGTTTTCAAAACGGCGTTTAGCGCAATAAAGACAAAAAAGGAAAATGAAAATGATTTTTTAATTTAGTTTAAAATAAGATAGAAATGAAAAATGACTTTTAGTCGTTTTTATTTTTTGTTTTTATTATCTCATATCTTGACATTAATGAGTTTTTTTTTATACTGAAAATAATCTTTTGATAAAATTACCAAATGTATTTTTAAAAATAATTTTTATTTAAGATTGAAAACGTTTTTATTTTTATTTTTATATAAAAAATAAAATTATTTTAAAATGAGTTTCAAACGCATCTAATATGTTTTGATGACTACCATGCTTACGTATCTCAACGTCGAAAAGTCAAGGCTGAAACGTACAATGAGATAATTAACATCCTTATAGATAAAGTTTAAAAGACCGGGTAATATTTCTATCTCCTTCTACCTAATAATTGTCTGGTACTCGAGTTGTCAAATTTTGTTGTGTGAATATTGTTCATTTAAA